GACATTACAATTTCTTTAAAAATAAGACTTCTGAGATGCTACGTGTTCTCTATATTATTTTATAGGTTAGAGCCTTGGAAATTAAAGAAAGACGTTTCAGACATATTGGAAGTATTCCAATTATGGACCTACAGAAGAATATTATTAATAAGATGGATGGATAGTCAAAAATGTTAAGGTGTTGAGAATAATGGGAAAAAAAGAAAGAGATTTGTTAGTAGCTTAACCTTGCCGCTTGTGGTTATATTTACCCTTCGCTTAACCATTTCCCAGCACGCGTTCCAGTAACCCCTAAGTGTTGACTCTTGACAAAGTTGTCCAAGTGAAAGAGCTATTGCGAAACAAAGTGTTGTTTTTAGTGCAGTGCTCTGTAGTGGTGTGTTATGAGAATGCATCCAAGCGGAAGCGGATTGTGATTTCTATTGCCGACAAATTAGTTGTTATCAAAGAAGATGAAAAAGAAAGTTTACAAAAAAAATGTGGCGAAGAATTATTAAGTTGGAGTTTCTACTGTTTTAAACTGGGTAAAATCCAAGAGTATTTTTTTGACAGAAAAACATTAAATACATCAGATTTTAAAAGAATAAACCTAGCTTTGTATCCGTGGTTGATATAACAGAAAAAAGGCCAGAGCTCACAGGTCCAATGCTGAGACAAGAGAAAGCTAAAATGTTAGCGGATTTGTTAAAAGATTTTTGTGCTAGCTCTGACTGGTTAGACAGCTGAACTTGTGCGGAGAAAAGTTATCTGCTGAATCAGGCGCGGTAGATGTTTTCAAAACGAGTTTGAAGATTGGACACAAGGCTATAGTAAGGACCAGATTTATACAGCATACGAAACAGGGGTAAATTTTAGCAACTGAAACGGCTGATCCATGTCAAAAAATAAAAAAAGAACGAATAACAGTACTTTTGCTGAAAATGCCGCAGGTAGTCACAGACTGCCATCAAGCTGTGCCAGCAAGTCAAAAAAAAAAAACAAGTGCATTAAAGGATATTGCGCCCAATGCTTTACCAGTTTTTTTTAAGAGCCCAAAAAAGTGCGTGGATTTCTTCTGAACTCTTTGAAGAATGGGTTTTTGATCAGTTTGTGCCAAAAGTTAAGAAGTTTTTAGCTGGAAAAGGTTTGTCCAAAAAAAAACACTTATTAGTTGATAACGCGTCCTCACATCCCAGTGAATTTAAAAGTGATGATATCGTTGTTCGATTCCTTCCTCTAAATTCAGTCTAATTCAACCTCTAGATCAAGGCGTTATAGAAATATTAAAGCGACACTATCCAGAAGCGAACCATTCTGCAGGATTGCGAAACACGTGATCTGAATGAAGTGCTAAAGTCAGTGAACATGAAGCACGTAGTATACTATGGTCTGTTTTTTATCCAGGAGGAGTAATTCAAATTTTCCGCGCCGTAATTCCTGTTTGTAATTGGTCCAACCGCAGGCAAGTTTACTCCACTAAATTATGACATATTGACACTAATGACATTTGTAAAATTTTAAAATTCAAAATTTATATCGATTTTTTATTTTTTCTGCGTTTTTCCTTACATTCATAGATTTTTCGTTTGCATTTATATAAAGTACAGTTCTTTTCAGAACTATTTAGTCTTATTAAGATAACAATATGGATTCAATGCCAAGTTGTCTCCGGAGGCGTGTCAGGTAGAAGCTGACCGCCGTGCCGGACGCATTTAGAAATTCGGAGAAATACTTGGAAATTCCAAGTGTGGGCAAATCCGAATTTCTAATTGACTCGATGTAGGGAAATTCCACTTTTACTACGTAAAACAAAGGATTTGTTTTATATAAAAGCAGACGGATTTTCTCTCATCAGTCAGTCGAGCTTGCCTCTTCTACTGTAGACCTAGTCGGTGCTATTATTGTTCCAACTAAGTTATTGTTTTATTTCTGATTTCCTATATACCATTTTTATTTTAGCATTATTGTATATTCAGACCTTTTCAGGTTAGAATATTACACATTATTCATGTACTTATTGTTTGATATTTTATTTGATTATTTTGATTGATTATTTTCTTGTATTTGTATCTAAGCTGTTCTTTCTGGCAAGTCAAAGAACTCTTAGAAATATTGCTTTGCTATTTTATTCGACTTGTTAATTTGTGTGTGTCTAAGTTGTTCTTTTCCGGTGAGTCAAAAGAACACTTAGAAGTATTTTCATATTTGCATTATTATTTCTGATACTTTTATCTAAGATATTATTTCATATTATTGACTATTTTATTTTCTATTTTTCGTTAAGTTGTTTCTTCCGTAAGTCAAGAAACACTTAGCAATATTTTCACATCTTTTCTGTATTTGATTTTCTTGTTTCTATTATAAGTTGTTCTTCCGTAAGTTAAGAAACACTTATAAATATTTGTACATCTATTTTACCATATTCTCTTGTTTATTTTCTGCTCTAAGTTGTTTCTTCCGTAAGTCAAGAAACACTTAGACATATTTCTATAATCTATTTCCCTTTTGCATTTCTTGTTTTTATACTTTGAATGTTTTATTTTCTAAGCCGTTTCTTCCGTAAGTCAAGAAACACTTGGAAATATTTCCATATTTTATTTTCACATTTGCATATTTTCACTTTCTTTTATATTTCTGTCCTAAGTCAAGAAACACCTAGGAGCATTTACCTTGTATTATATTTTTATACCGTTTGATTTATTTTGATTTACTAAGCTATTCCTTCCGTAAGTCAAGGAATACTTAGATTATTGTACCTGTTCTGTTTTCTATCTTTGATCCGTTATTTCGTAACCGTTCCTTGGAACTCTTACCTATAACCGATACTTGTCACGGTAACTGTTACTTTATACAAGTAGCGATTATTAACCCTTTCGATAGCGACAAACAAAGATGGTCAACACCCGATCAAATTCCGGGGACAGGAAGAAGTCCGAAGAGCCGGCGATGGGTCCCACAGGCCCAAATGCCCCCTCTCGGCAACAAAGTACTAGTGGTAATTATTCTTCTCCACCTTAAAAACGCCGAGTAGATTTGAGTCATTTATCAACAAATAAGAAACAATGTACTATAAACATGTATAAAAAAATAAAAATTGATAATTCTGGATTGAAAATAACAGCCACGGTAGCAAAAGTAAAACAGGCAGCAGGTTAGTTTTGCAGAATAGTTATTATTAAAATCAAGACTTACTAAAGTAATGTGTTAATTTTAGGTGTTGCGAATTCAACTATTTACCAAACAATTAAAGAATATAAGCAGACTGGTGATATGCGAATATTATTTAATGTGATATTTTTCTAGATGATATTTACAATAAATATTGTTTAGTGTTTATAAATTTATAAATGTATGTTATTTATATCTAATTATCATAATAAAAACGGCAACTATCTTTTAAATTTAGTGTACACTTGTTAAGAAGCATTTACATTTTGTTTTCATCACAATAAAAGAACATTAGTAAAGTAATGTATTTTAGTTTGATTGTATTGATATAGTTGGTTTTGTTCTTCCTGGTTGTGGATAATCACAAGGAAACTGCAAAATTATGCTTGAATGTAACATAATAGATTGAATTTGTTAATTTTAGTCAATTTTATTTATTGATAACAAATCTTACAAACTAAAGAATCCAAAACAAGAATCCAGCATTAAAAAAATTGCAAGTACAACTATTTATACAAAGTATCTTTTTGCATTATAGTGCTTCAAATAGAACCTAAAGATATTGATACATAAGTTAAACAAATCTATCTAATGAGGTAACTGATTACCAAATAAGACCACAGGAGATTGGATTATTAAGCTTAAAAATAATTATCAAAGTCAGAATTAACTCTTCTGGTAAGAAAAAAAAAACCTATATTCAAGAAATTAATCACATCAGAATAAAAATATGGTCTACGTAGTTTAAAAGAACAGTATTTCAGAAATCTTTGAACTTTTTCTAACTTTTTGATACATGCATTTGCATAGCTTTGTTGCATACTTATTTGATCTATTTGCAAATTAAAAGACAAATTTATGTAAAAAACCAAACTTAGATGAATGTGAAAAATGTGAAAAAATATCTATTGCAAGTGAATTGAAAAAAAAAATATTCAAACATAAATTAACAAAGTTAGGTTAGAATTGACGGGGGAGGTTGTCCGATATTGATTACTCGATTACCTCAAGGCCGAAATAATCAACAAAAAAAGAAGATGTATTTGGTGACTTTTCTAGTAACTTTCTTGGGTGTGAATCTGTCTTTTTGGTTTACTCCTCCTGGTTAAAAAACAGAGTATAGTGTGGGAAAGCTTGGGAAAAAGTTAAAAATTAAACACTGCAAAGGTGCTGAAGAAAATTGTACGACAGACTGGAAGAAGAAGGAATAGAAAGTTTTGAAAACTTGACAGAGATGAAAACACTTAAGTGAAAATGATATCGCTCTTTATTTTCTTAACACTCCTTACATAGACCATTTTTAAACAGCCACCAATTAATAGCGAGCATTAGAACTGGCTACAATTAATAATACAAGGATTGTTTTAGAGCAGCGGTATTGACAGGTGAGTTGTCGTAATCATTGCCCACCTTTTAAGAGGAAATGGCACATGAAGAAGTATGTCCAATATTGGGTGAATGAAGCTAATTACTAATGACTATTGGTTATGAGCCGTTGGTTAATCAACAGTCATTCGACACCGTCGATAGCTATGTAGAATTTGGAAGAAACCAATCGTTCATGTAACAAAGAGGACAATTTAGGATTTCTGGGCCATATTATGAGAAATGAACCAGATATGTATTAGTACAACTTGCGCTTCAGGGCAAGCTGTAGGGAAAAATAGGACCAAGGAGGAGAATAATTTCTTGGTTCCAAAACCTGAGTAAATGGTTCAGCATTTGGTCAACAAGGTCAACCGGACTATTCTCAATAGCTGCCAGGATAGCCAAATATTTTTTACAAATAGATCAATCTTCTGTATAACCCAATGAATAACTCAAAGAAAAAATATTTGATGCAAATTTCTTACCCTTAATTCTCTTAAACTTCCTCCATCTTCCAAAGAATCTTCTGAGCTTCTTCGGCTGGACAAGTATCGATTTCCAGCACTTCTCGGGGTCCTTACCAATGAGGTCGGCTCTGACGATAGCATGTCGAATTGCCTGTCTGCATTTTCTTCTTGTTCTTTTTGTTGTCGTTCTAGTTCCCTCATTCGTATTTCCCTCGCTTCGGCTCTGGCTTGCCTTTTTGCCCATAATCGCGCTTCCGCCTGGAAAGAATTAAGAATAAATTAAAAAACGTAGAAAAATTTAAAAATCTAGTCATAATATTAAGAACTTCACTAACTTTGCTATTCAATTAAATGTTTGGATAACACAATATATATTTTTTTATTTCTTCCGTCCATTGTACTTTATTAAAGAATTTCTGAGGTCAAAAATGAATGCGTATGATCATTATCTATTTCGTTATAAACTAGGTTAGTTAAGGAGTTAAAAATGACACGGTTTTAATATGATTATAAGTATATTATCTCCCTTAATAAAATTAAAACATTACAACCAGTGATAACAAACGTTTAAAGAAACGTATAAAATTATTTAAACTACATAGACCTACTCATACAATTCTTCGTATGCACAAGTTAGTTTTGGTAAAATTATTTTACAAATCGTCATAATTTCTTGATCACTTTTATTTAAAACATCTTACTGGCAAAATGTTAGCAAATGTGTAGGTTATATGGACGTAGTTAAGCAGAAAACGTCCAACCCACAAATTGTTAAAAATGAGTTCTTTACACCAGCGAGCATATAATTTCTTGCTTTATAATATGCAGAAACCGTCCAAGTGAAAACATTACATACTCTTTTAATAATCGTCAAAGTTCTAACCCACAAACTAGGTTAACTGAGATTTTCATTGATAATAAAAAATCCAAGTGGGTTGAATTTTTTCTAAAAAATGTATGTCGATCTAAGTAATCGTGTTAAAAGAGTGGTTAAAACAGGCTAAGTGGGTTGGATCACTTTAACGCTCCATGCGATAACAAAACTACTGTGCATTTTTTTGTGTTAAAAACATCCAAGTGAATTGGATGTTTTCTACTTATAAATTTCGGTATACTTGTTAAAAATAAGAGTATAATCAGAAATCGTCCAAACCACTTGGTATCATTTTACGTTTACTATTTCATTAATATGTTAAAAGTAGTTTGAATCTTCGATTTCGGTCGATAATAAAATTTTATTACGGGAATGTGCCCTATTAATGTTTAAAACGTGCCTTGTGCGTATAAACCCTGGAACTTGGTCGATAAAAATTAATTTATTATAGGTACTCATCTTAAGCATAGTAATCACTTTCCTTTAGTTTTAAGTAAATGTGCCTATGTATTGATAAACATTTCTTTTTATTCAGTTGTGTCTGATTTTTCTGACTGTTCGGGTTTAAAAATACTTATTTAATAATAATTATGTCGAAAAGAAGCAAATACATGTGTGAGCTAGCAAAACTTATGGAAAACCAAACAAATAGTGTAATGTCTAGCGTGGAATTTGATTCAAATATTACCAATGTTGAGGTAAGTCGGAAATTTTTTATTAAAAAATAACTATATGTTGTTTACTGATTATTTTTTCGTGGTTTTCGGCCAGATTGAAGAAATAACACAAAACTCTCTTTTTTTTTACGACGTTTCAATTTATTTTGTTACTAAATCTTAAAAAAAAAATAAAGAAAATAGAAGAAAATAGAGTTTTGTGGTATTTCTTTAATCTGGCCGAAAATCACGAAAAAATAATCAGTTTATAAGACACGGCTTCTAAAAGTTTATGTTGTTTACTAAATTTTTAAAATAAATGCATTTTATACATCATTACATAATTTAAATATATTGTAGAATATGGATGATACCAATGTGACAGAATTCTACCGTCACAGCGAACCATCGTCATCCAATAGTCGTATTCGTGAAATGGTTTTAAACGAGAAAACTGGATGTTTTGAATCAGCTTCTACCATAGATTCTGTTGATGATTATGATGTAAGTATTAAATCTTTGTACCTATACTGTTTAGTAAAATGCTTTATAATGCTATTCGCTATATTATTTCTATTTAATGAAAACTAAACTTTGATGTACCTATTGTTACAATCTAAAAGAAAAAATACAACTTCCTTAGGTACACACAATTTTGTAAACACATATGTATTAATCTTATTATACCAATGTTAAATTGATACCTATTATTATGATCATCAATTATTATTGATTAAAGTAATTATACAATAATGTAAAGCATATGAAAATTATTTTTCGATGAGTACCTATAGTAAACTTTATGAAAAAGATTAATTTGAATGAATTGAATTTGTTTTATTTTTTGGTACCTGGTAATTGATTAAAAGTTAACTTCTTTAATTAAAATAGACGCTTTCTATAATTTTTTGAAATTTTTATTTAAAATATTATCTAATAATACCTACCTTTTTATTCTTACAGAATATGTCAATAAGTGATGTCTTTAGTAGCGGTTCCTCTGATATGTTTATACCATCGTCACATGAAGAGAGTTCCGATAACAATGAAAGTTGTGATGATAATCCATTTTTAGCCAGTACATCAGGTCGTCCAAAGAAGGGTAGAAAAAAGAAATTTGCAATGACGCGAGCAACATCAAAGATTAATAGGAACAAAAATGAATCTTACATTGACTACAAAGGAAAATTGAAAGCTGCTAAAGAATTTCAATATGACTACAATTGTAACTGCCCGATGAAATGTTCTGAGTTGATTTCTACAGAGTCACGAAAACAAGAATTTGATCGTTTTTGGAGTCTTGGGTCTTATAATGCCCAAACTATCTTTATTGCCAATAATATCCACGAAATGCCGAAAAAAAGAATGTATGGAAGAAACACTGAAAGACGTCTGTATTCCAGACAATATTCCTTACTTAATCAGCGTATTTGTAGGCAAATGTTTATCAATAGTCTTAGAATAACTCCGTCAAGAGTAACAACAGCTCTGAGAAAGGTAAACAATCGTGCTCCAATTCTTGATCAAAGAGGTAGAAAACAAGGTGGTTTAAACAAAGTCCCTGAAAATAAAATTCAGGAAATAATCAACCAGATCAATAAACTGCCTAAGTACATATCGCACTACTGTCGTGAAAACACGTCTGCATTATTTTTACCGGCACATCTCTCATTATTAAAGATTTATGATCTATACAAATCTGAAGTTCAAAACCCTGTGAAATTTGGTATTTATAAGAGGATTTTTTACGAAAAATTTAATTTGAGATTTAATGTTCCCAAGAAGGACACATGCCAGGTATGTGATTCATTTAAAATAAAACTAGAAAATGAAACGGATGATCATAAAAAGCAACTTTTACAAATTGAACTCGACACTCATCAGGATTTGGCCCAAAAATCACGAGAAACATTAAAGGCAGATTTAAAACGAGCTAAAGATGAGGATAATGTAGAGTGTTTAACATACGATCTTCAAAAAACTCTACCTTTACCCAAAATTCCAACCAATGTAATATATTATAAGAGGCAAGTTTGCTTGTATAATCTCGGTGTATTTTCAGGCAAACGTAATAAGAGTTATTCCTATGTATGGCTTGAAGGAACTGCTGGAAGAGGAGCTCAGGAGGTTGGTTCCTGTATTGTAAAATATTTAGAAAACATAGAAAGTACTGTTGAACATCTTATATTGTGGTCTGATTCTTGTGGAGGCCAGAACCGTAATATTAAAATAACACTCCTCATGGCCAGTCTTCTTCAAACCAGCCATAATATAAAAACTATAACATTTAAATTCCTGATTTCCGGCCATAGTTTTCTACCAAATGATAAAGATTTTGGGGATATAGAATGTCAACTCAAACGTCAAGAACGAATATATACACCTTTAGACTATATAAATATAATAAATTCATGTCGTAAAAAGTCTCCAATAACAGCTACACAAATGAAAAAGGAATGGTTTTTGAGTACCCACCAGCTCGAGAAGGCCACAATAAACAGAAAAGTTGGCACCAATAAAGAAAAAATAAATTGGTTGGAGACAAAACAAATTATATTAACAAAAGAAAATCCTTACCACATCTTTATGAAACCTAGTTATTTTGGCGATGAAAGTGTATGTTTGGATATTGAGCGACGAGGACGATTAAATACAGAGAGCTTTTCGGCGCTGCTTATGCAACTCTGGCCCAATGGTAAACCCCTGTCAGAGGATAAAATTAACGATATTAAAAGCTATTTACATCTAATTCCTTCAGACGCTAAACCGTTTTATGAAAATTTTACAAGTGCTAATGTAGTCGAAGACGTTGATGGATTTAATGTTCCAGTTCTAGATTTTGAGGTAGATACCCACAATAATTAAAACTTTTTTTAAATTTACATTTACATAAGAAAATCATTGTAATTTTGTTTCTTTGGATCATTAAAATTTTTATAAAAATATGACATTATTTATTTATCTGAAAGATTCCAACCCACATAAGTATGTTTTATCGAAATTTTTTTCGGATTTTTGTTTTTTGTTAAAAACGTCCAACCTAAAATTTTCAAAATAACTTCATTGAAACTTACATTTAAAAGAAATTACAAACGAGGTGCCTACGAGATGAATATCATTATCTTAAAATCATTGCCAGGCGAATAAATTATGCATAGTTTAGCTAGGGCACACTAAAATCTTTTAAACTCAATTTCCCAACAATCACTTTTTTTGGGTTGGACGTTTTCTGCTTAACTACGTCCATATTCAACATGCTGGTTGGATGAGCACTCTGAAATTGCGCAGCCATTCGTCGCGAGCCAACGAAACGCTTTCGTTCTCCCTCGGATTCTGCTTAAATAGAGTCAAACACTGCCCTGAATTAGTCTCACGCTTGCGCTTGTTGTCCGGAATGAGCAAACGCGGCACCCATAGCGCCGACAATTTTGAGGATTGCCATCGAATTGAAGGAGAATAATCACCGTACATGGCATCGAAGCGCTCTTTGATTTCGCTGTGCGATTTCCATTGCAAAAACAAGAATCGAATCACCGACCGATACTGCTCTTTTTCCATTTTTCTAAAATCCGTTAAAAATTCTGACTCTTACAATTACATTTGGAACTATACCTCTTAATTTTAACACCATTATCGATCATCCATGGCTCGATGAGTTACTCTGATCCACAGATTTTTTAGTGGGTGTTAAGTTTCTACGCCATAAGTCAAAACTGTTCAATCCAGAG